ACCAGGATCCAGCATCGAGGCCCAGTGCCACAACTGGCAGCGAATGTGTTTTGGACCAAAACTTACGAGAAGATGCACTTGCCCCAACCCCACACAGGAACTCAGTGAACATCAAGTCATCGACCTTCAGACCGCACACGCATCACCAGAAGACCCTCTATACCACATCGTCACCTACTCGTCCAAGACGGGCACTTTCCCGGAACCAGATACTTGGATTTCGCAGACGACGGAAGATGTTCGAAAATGGTGCAGACGCAATGGACTCTCCATCCCATCCAGGGAGGCCGTGCAGCTCGCCCTTGCCCCGGCGGCACAGCTCAGCCACAACGTGAAGGAGGAACACGTGAACCACCACATGGTCAAAAGCCTCAAAACCCAGTACAGCGACTACATCATCGCGTGCGAGGACCACCATCCCCACAAGATGCTAGCGTACTGCCCCCTCCACTTCCAACAGCTCATGGACAAGATGTACGGCGACCCTGAAGTCTTCACCAAGATCAACATCACCCCGACCACAGCGGCGCACAACGCGTGGCACCAACTTCCCCAAAACATCAAGACAAGATACGCCTGGGGCATCAACCCAAACCGCAAGGACAAAGTCCCGGTGTCCTACATCTTCCCCAAGCGCAAGAAGGGCTTCATCAAGTCACGGCCCATTGTCTCGTTCGCCCAGCACTTCGCCAAGAGGCTCTTCTCCACGGTCGCCAAGATCATCACCAACATCATGTACATCTCTTTCCCCCAAGCGCTGCAACAGGACAACTCCTACAAGATCTTCAAGGAACTTCACACCTTCATGAACTACAACAACGCGGACATGCACATGCAGATCGCGGACCTCGCGGGCTTCTTCACCAGTGTCCCACAGGAACGTATCCTCCAAGCCCTCATGATCACCATGGACAAGTACTTCGCCAACTCCCAGCACGGCTTTGACACATGGCAGGACGTCTCCATCACCTACGACCCCAAAAAGACGCTTAGGACGGCCAGAACGTTCAATGGGAAGTACAAGCAGATCAACCATGGTCGACGCACCATCTACATGCACGACATCTGGGAGATCACTCAGTACGTCCTGAAGTGCAGCTACTTCACCTCCCAACAACAAGTATACAAGCAGACCAGAGGCAGCCCAATGGGACACCCAATGTCACCGGTGTTGTGCCACATGGTCTGTTGTGTCGAAGAACATCAATGGCATGAGACATATCGCATAGCCTTGGCATCGTGCGCAATTCTCGACCGCTTCACCAAGAGATATGTTGACGACCGCATTTGCATCCTGCCACAAAGTTGGGCTTACACGAGCCCTTGGAGCGAGTTTCTCCAAACAGAGTTCTACGGCCCGCCTATATTGTTGGAAGAACAAGAAGAAGCCAACTACCTCGGATGCAACATCAACCTACACCGCAAAGAAGTTCGCCTCATTCTCCCCTCACAGACACACCAGCTCCTTTCGCCACGGGGATCCACACCTATGGTCCACCGTGCCAGTGCATACCGAACGAGACGCCACATGATCTCAAAGATAGCGTATCCCGAGCCGGTTCGTCTACAACAACTCCGAGAACTTCGCGCCCTCTACCAAGCCCACGACCCAGACATGCTGACGTTTGTGCATAGATGACTCGAAGTACCACAGCAAAATCAATATCAAAGACCGCCAGCAAGTGCCCATGATGCGCAGTGACGGATTGCAGTCGTTGAGGTCCCCTAACCTTTCCTCCCCAAGCCCCGTGTCCCGCAGTGAAGTGTGATTTTGCTCACGCACATCATGCAATCATGTGAAGTCCGCCCCTACCCTTTCCCGCACCCACCCAGAGCGCTTCTCTTCAGTGGCTGACGCAGTGACAGACGTAGCATAGAAGAAGTTGCCCGGCTGATAGACCAACAAGTCGATCATCCAATTCTTCACCATGCCGACCAACAAGATGCACGAGGAGCAGACCATTCCGGATCCTCAGCCAGCAAGCCAGCAACATCCCAATAACCAACCGGAGACAATGCAGACAGCCTCCGAGATCCCAGATGAGATCGCCAACCCCAACGATCCAACCCACCAGACCACGGACGACGCGGTGAAGCTCCTCATAGACACAGTATCCTCGCAAGCAGAGAAGATCCGGACCCTCGACCAGACCGTCTTCCAGCTGGAACAAGAGCTCGCTTTCGTCTACGAGCGCACCTGCAGCCAGTCAGTATTAGAAGAACTCCTGGACGTCAAACGAGCGGCGTACAGGGCGGACTCATCAAGAGCCTCCACCTCCAACGACATCAGCCGACACAAAGGTTCCATCCGCGATCTTCACCTACAGCTCAACGATATCCAACGTGATCAAACTCTCCAAGCCAGACGACTACAGGAACTAGGAGGACGACTAGATGCTCTTGGACACCAAACTCGCCAACAACTACAAGAACTACGAGACAGACTCCGCCTCCATACCACCATCCCGCAGGACCCTCATCCAATATCCCACACCACCATCTACGCAAGCCTGGACGAGACAAGAACTCGCTTGGACACCGTCGACCAGCTCCTTTCTCGACACGACCAAAGCATCAAGTACCTGTGCAGGTGCCTTCGATCCGCAACCGGCTCAGCTACATCCTCCAGACAGGCACCCATTGGACAGTACAGATCAAACTCCAGGGCCCCGCTCGAAAGAGATGATCCTCTACAGCATCTTCAAGATCCATGACCTCAAGAATCGGAACCCGGAACCGGTACAATTCATCTGTCCACTCAACGACGTCGTGCAGAACGCAAAGTTGGATGATAACTGGCCTCAACAGCACCGCCACAGCATCCAGTAACATTGTTACGCTTTGGTCAATTTTGTTTTCACCAAAAACGATTCCTGTTCTATCTCACCTACATCCGACGCTTGGCTTGGAGTGAGCAAAAGAACCGAGACCAAGCGCGA